GCTGGCAACGACTTATCTAGGCAACTTCTATCAAGTCCACGTCACTTCCGGTGACACGCCTACCCCAACTTTCGGATCTCGACTGTACCGACTTATATCAGCATTGCACCCATAAGGTATCGCTGGTAAAATTCGAAGTGAAATCGTTCACTTCATTGAGAAATATAGAAGAAAAATGGGGTGAAGCCATCTTTTTGGTGGGTGTATGTCAACAGTATCGTCCGGATCCCCGCGCTACTGGTCGTGGCCGCGACGTCGCAACTGCAGTGGACGAGTTTTTAAGAGCGTCATTTGAATTTGAATGTTACAGGGACGCCAAGCAGGCCCATTCAATATTCAACTTCAATCAACTGCTCGAACCATAAATTCAAAAACCCGCGCTCTTTAGAAAATTGCCGCGTCCCGACGCCGCGCAAGTGGCCGCACGCGGCGGCCCGACGACCGGACGATTCTGTTGACCGCTCCCCCTTTTGGTACACACTGTATTGGAGTATGGGAGTGAAAAGATGGAAAGCTCAAAATTTGAATTGTCCTTCGAAAAGCTGTCCAAATGTAATTGTGCTTTTTCCAGGACAATGGTGGAGTATGACTTTGACTCGATATTCAATCATCCGCAAGTGATGATGCGTGACCGAGAAGCAGTTGAGAAGAAGCTACGAATTATGGTCGAGGGAGGCAAAGAAAAGCTTATGGTAAGAACTTTGGCAAAGCTTTATGATAGTTCAAATGAATACAAAGAATCCTGAAATAACTTATCGAATCCGTGCAACTGCTAGTAAAAATTCTGCCCTTGCTCACAAATTGTCGGTCTACAGACTACTTGAACTCGGTCCTTTGAACCGCCTCACTTTGATGCTCTCGCCTGCGCTCTCTCGCCTTAAACAGCGGCTCATGACCACTGTGATCTCACACATTCAAACTTTGCCACAATGTAATTGGCTCACCCACCTCGGAGTCCCTCCTCCTCCAAGGCTTAGTCCTAGGGCTCTCACCTTCCTCTTTGGGATTTGGAGCCGAGCCAGACGTCAATTGCTAATTGTGCCTCTAGCCATTCGCTGCAGAGACAGACGCTCCTCGGTGGGTGGGAGCTCAAGAATGCTCAACGAACTCCAATTCGTGGGTGCCCTCCCAAACTCTACCCATCAGCTTGCATTACACTCTGTGTGGTCCCTGCCTTCAAACTGCATGAACCATGTGAGGATCTAATGTCCGTTCGCTTTGCGCTATTTTTTCTCAGATGCGCTCAGCCCTCAAAATGGGTGAAATTTATTGAAAAATTGATTTCCAGTCATTTCTCCTATGGGTCGACCAAACTCTCCATTTGTTCGCCCTCAATTATTGGTACCGAATCCGTTTGGGGGTAACGAGGAGCTATTTGTGCATTGGTTGAGGCACCAAACGTCCCACAATGCGCGCGCGCAAAATCGCCTTCCAAAGTCTATCGCAATCTTGCAATGGACAGCAGGGATGTATTGCGGCATCCCTGAGAACGCAATGAGGACATGATGTGGACTTTCATATGTTCATAGGTATTATACATACTTCTTCTGCGATCCATTCATAGTTATATTCTTGCAGCGTGCATCCTCTGATCTTTGACTTACACTCTATCACAGATTTGAAGACAGCCTTGGAAGACGATGTTGGACCACCCATGGCGTGTTCGACAACTGTTCCAAGCAGGTTGATCCTGAATTGTCTTTGAAGGTACTTAATCATGGGTACGAATCGATCAACTTCAATTCCCTTTGATTCACAATAAGTTCGATTTCAGCTGCAACTTCTGAAAGAGAAATTCTTCCCTGTCGAATTCGATCCGAAACTGACACTTGAGCAAAAAGTGCCTTTCATGGAGGAATGGCAAGTTCCTTTACAATCCTCTGTTTCTTCATCTCGTTCTCTTTTTCTTCTAGTTGATCACGATTTCATCTTAATCACTGCTTGTACAGAAAACAAAAACAAAAGAGCCACGTGGAACCGCCACTGTTAAGCGTGCCATCTTCCGATACATTGGTCGTCAAGTCATGAAAACAAACAAACAGGCGCATTAGCTACGCTTCATCTGTTCAGCGTTTTCGCCCCGCATTCTGCATCTTCACCTAGAAACTCCGAAAATTGTCTGAAGGACCTGCGTTATCAGCCCTGACTTACTAATGTGTAGGACGCAGATTCAAAGCAGACTTGTTCTGGCGATTCAAAGTGACATGCGGTGTTCGGCGCAGCTGACAGTATCCTAGAAAAGGCACTTTTCGGTGTTTGATTGGCACTTGCTTCATCCTATAATAAGACATGAGCATCGAGCGACAGAATCTAACTCAACATTGCTCCTATAAATAGTGCTATCGAATATCGCGGCATGATCTATCACCAGAATAATCCTTCACAGAAAGGTGAGGCGAACACGGGTTTTATTCAAGTGCCTCGTTGCGAGAAGTCAATAGTAATGCACACCTTTGTGACATTTCATTTCGATAACTTTACGTTCAAAGGTATCGGTCTTACGAGGGCGGAAGTGGTGTAGTGACAAGTGGCGCTCTTACACGCGAGCGGTCCGGGATCAAATCCTGGGTCGTGAGTCGCCCGGGCCAACCAAGCCTTCCATCCCTCCGGGGTCGGTTAATTGGTACCAGACTTGTCTGGGAGGATAAAAACACTGACTTGTACATCGGCTGGCCCCCGCAAGTCATTGTATAGGCCACATCGCATTCAAACGCCACTACGAATGTACAAATGGAAGTAGAATGCGTGCCGCATCCCAAAAAGGGATTGATCAACGGCAAATGCTTTATCCTTTATCCTTTATCGTGAGCTCAAGGCGCCGGCTATCTGCGTTAATTATTGTGATCGAATACGTGCCATGCATATGCGACGTGGTGCTCTCAACCATTGCGTTACCTTTGGCTTCATTGCTGCTAGAAATTGAATGCGAATAATTCGGCGTATCAAACATCAAACTCCTCGCATCCTACCATAGCGCTAAGTGTTCGTTGGACGGATCTGCGCATTTCTTCTTATCTTAAAAAATGACTCAAAGATTAGAAACTTGGATCAATAACATTTTCCTTGAATATCCTGAATTCTGAAGATTCAACGTTAAAATTCAATTCTTATACGTTAAAAGAATAACATCTGATTATTTGAAGCTAAATCTCCAAAACACTAAAAATGATTCACGAAAAACCGTTTCGAGAAACCCACCTGATCTACAGTATGTTCTTCACTTAAGCATAGAAATACAAGAATATGGTAATTCTGCTGATTTCAGGTGGAACTCTTCACATAATCACATTGTTTCCGCCAAATTTGATCGGACGACTGTCGAAGGGTTTGTGCGAAAATCGAAAATTATATTGAGGTAGCGTTTATTGAGTCTTATCACTTTTCATAGCTTTGCCAAACGTTTGTCCTGAATGTTCGTGTAATAATTGAAGTACCACCTGAGAAATTCGGTGCTGCTTGTAGATCTCGTTTAGGATTAGAAGCGTTCTCTCCATTAGAATCTCAGATTTGTCTACGTTGTTTTCTCCTAATTCCCAATCCTTCAATTATTATACCAGTTGGCGCCGCACGCATTGCGCGCGCAACACAGATCTGCGGCGAATTTTGATGGTGCGACGAAAATTTTCAAATTTGGCTTGATACACCACGAATATCTGAATTCTCAGCTAAATTCTATCCGCTCCATCATCGACGGCTTTCAACCTTTTTTCTTCGTCAACCATTATCCTCTTTTTCTCGGTCTCCGGACTGCTTCCGGACAATAAATCTCGTGGCAAACTCCGCCTACTTCGGTGCGTGCCCCGCCCACCAATAGCATTTGGCCCCTTCCTTTCGCCGACCTCTACCCCTTTTTTCACCGGTCTCTGGGACCTCTTGGAACCAAATTACGACACTTTTGGCAAACTCCGCCCAATTATGTGCATGCTCCGCCCACTAATAGCAGTTGACCTCCTTTCCTTTGCCGGCCTCTACTCCCTTTCTCCGGGACTTTGTTGGAGCCGAGTTATGAATTTTCGTCGCAAACTCCGCCCACTTTGGTCAAGCTCCGCCCACCGATGACAGCTGGCCTCCACTCCCCACCCTCCATCCACCTTTTCCCCGGCCTCCGGGACTTCTTGGAGCCGAGTTATGAATTTTCGTCGCAAACTCCGCCCACTTTGGTCAAGCCCCGCCCACCATTGACAGCTGGCCTCCACTCCTCCCACCCACCTCCATCCACCTTTTTCCCGGCCTCCGGGACTTCTTGGAGCCGAGTTATGAATTTTCGTCGCAAACTCCGCCCACTTTGAACCTCCACTCCTCCACCCACCTCCGTCCACCTTTTTCCCGGCCTCCGGGACTTCTTGGAGCCGAGTTATGAATTTTCGTCGCAAACTCCGCCCACTTTGGTCAAGCCCCGCCCACCATGACAGCTGGCCTCCACTCCTCCATACACCTCTATCCACCTTTTTCCGGCTCTTTAAGACTTCCCCGACCCGAATTATGAGGGCTTGTAGAAAATGCTGTACACTTCAGAGCGCGCCTCCGCCCACGTCATGTATGCAGGAAACACCTTAGACATTGCTCCCTTACACCAAATTGTTTTCTGCTCTGTAGGCTTTCTCCCAACCGAGTTATGAAATTTTTCATAAAGCACTGCTTTTTTAGAACGCCCCGCCCACCGGGGGTGGGTCTCCCTAATTCGATGTGACTTACCAATGCACACCTTTACCCACTTTTTGGCCCAGTTTCGAGGTCGTTTTGTCACTGAAATCGAAATCTTGGTCTTCGGTACAATTCATTTCGACGCACGCCACGCCCTCTGTGGGCGGGGCTCCGCTTAGCTGATGTGTGTTTTGTATTACGTGAGACCCTGCCCACCCATCCCACACTTGACCCGGTCCCTCCAGGCGGATCCCGAGGAGCTAGGGAATTTCGTGACAGACATACAGAACGACAGACAGACAGACAGACAGACAGACAGACAGACAGACAGACAGACAGACAGACAGACAGACAGACAGACAGACAGACAGACAGACAGACAGACAGACAGACAGACAGACAGACAGACAGACAGACAGACAGACAGACAGACAGACAGACAGACAGACAGACAGACAGACAGACAGACAGAAAGACAGACGAACGCTTTATAGTAGGTAGGATAGTGAAAGCAATACAAAGACAGACATTTAAGGGATCAAGCTGAGTGCTGAATGGGGATGACACGGCACTGAAACCCTCAGCTCGGTGTACCTCTCGTGGTCTTCTCAGCCGGGATCGGAAATATCATCGAGATGTATTTGGAGCAGCGATTAGGTCAAATCCCATCGAACATACGGATAATTTCGAACATGATGAATTTTGACGAGAAAGTACGTTTACATTTGGTAACAGTAAAGATAGTCAATGAAACAATCCCGAACGCGCCACGGCTGTCTCTCCCATTCGAGATTGGGAACTGTCTGAATGCGGTTTGGTCTAAATAATGGCTACTGGGTCAGAAGATACTACTATATGAATGCTACTTTCGCTAAGGCTTGATTCTCATAAGTGGGTTCGGATCTCCAGATAACGATGTGGCGCAGAGGACGAAAATGAGTTGTTCAAGGATAAAAATATAGCTAGTGGTAGATGTTCCATTAAGTTGCATCCACGATTCATGCATAGGCTAAACACGCTTCCAATCACATAAACAGTTTTGGATGGGAACTGAATGCGCAGCGCATGTGAGAAGGGATAATCAAATTGACTTCTTCACTTTGTTGAAAGAATGATGTTGGAGTTTTTCCCGGGTGTTTCGAAAAAAATTCAAAATTCTCTGCAGAGTTTTTTTCCGGTGATGCAGTAGTGCCGGTTGTGGGCAAAACTCTTCGCTCCAAGAGGGAAAAAGGGGCCTCGGTGGTGTAACTGGTGAAACAACTGCTCGAAAAGCGCAGGTGCAGGTTAGGATTCCGTCTGGAGCGGAGAATTTCGCCCTTAGCCCAGTGCTCTTGTAAAACTATTGTGTTGTGTGAAACGCGTACTGCGACGTTAAAACAGTAGTCAGCAAAGAAAACAAGTCAAAATCATTCCCGGAGTTTTATTTCGTTTTTCGCTACTTTTATAAAAAACAGATCTGTCCTCCGGCAACCGCCGGAATGTAAGCTTACCGGTACTCCTACCCTCCTCACTCCACTGCTCTCCACCTGCGGCTGCAGCAGTTAGTGGAATGGGCAAGCCCTGCGAGTTTCTAGATTTGTTAGCGGCCTAATTATCCATTAGCTGCCTTATCACTCACTTCATTTTGCGGACGGACAGACAGACAAACTTACAAACAAACCGACACACCAAGGTTGTGGTTTATATAATGAAAAAAGAGATAAACCCCGTTTGCTCATTTTTACAAAGAAACGGTCGTATTAGTGCATATTTAGGGAGTAGTGGTGTCATTTTCTCAACCATTGATTCACACTTACTGTAAGAATTCGTCTGTGATCCGTAAAGAAGCCAACTTCTTCCATGACGTTAGTGGAAGGTAAGTCATTATTCTTTTGAAGTTTTGGCTAATCCAACTCAGAAGGTCCTATAAGTGCTACAGTAATCGGAACCTGGTTTTTTAGTCACATGTGTCAATAATTTTATTCTAGTTCCAGTAATACTTCTATTTAAGGACCAA